GGGGGCAGCTCGCGCTCAACTTCATCAACGTGGCGAGCCTTGCACGTGAGAGGCACAGTGGAGGTGGAGTTCAAAGAAGAATGAGAAATTTGATGGTTTCAATCTGCCCTTGTTTTTTCTTTTTGTTTTTATTTTTATTTTTATTTTTGCATGTTATCACTGTGCCCGTTTTTTGCTTTTATTCTTTGTTCCGCAAAGTGCGCTCTTTTAGTTTGTAGTGATGTGACAATATATGTATGTATAATGCCTACGGTTTACCGGGCAGTTCTATTTGACGATATATATAATATATTTCTAGGCTACCTGAGTGGCCCGGGACCACTTGCCCCAAGTCTGAAAATTTAGGTCTCCGTTAATCATCTCTCTCAGAGAGAGTGAGGACCCTGGAGTTTAAAACCATCAGTAGCCTGGCCAGCTACCCCACATGCTCCCACCGGTTAACCTGCGTATGGTTGGCCTACTGGAGGTCAGGGGGTCCAGGGGAGGGACCAGAAAATTTTGAGTGTCGTGAAATTAAAACTCGATTCCGTCAACATAAAACAAATCAGGAATCATTGACGTAGGGTACATATGACTGTATAAGGGAATGACATAGTAAAAAAGCAAAGGTTTTGACTGTCAAACAGGGTTGCATACCGGCGGATAGCCTACCCCGACCGCCGATCATTTTGTAGCCTACGTGTAGGCCTGACCGGTCGGCGGTCTGCTGACCAGTCAGTAAACAGCCATCCACTGATTCCTTCTTTTAATCTGACTATGGGGCTGTACTGCACTTTCTGAGCACATCCCAAATTGGCTGAGAGACTTTTGGGGATGGGGGGGGTTAATTGGGCTAGGGAGGGGCTGGGGGGGGTATAGGCGGGTATTGGGGGGTATAGGGGTGTGCTTGCAATTGCTGCATGGCACCCTTTACTCTCCTTGACATGTATGGTTCAATCTTGCTGCGCTGAGATTGATGGCCCACTCTTGCTGCTTGTTCCACGACCGATCTGAGTCCACTTCTCTGTTGCTGCCCTCTCATCTTGTTCATGCAGGTGGTGTGTATACCAAGCCCTTTTCAGGGCAAAAGGGGGGGGGGGAGGTTGATGGCTTGAGTGAAGTTGAGTCGCACCAAAAAAACTTATTGTTCAAACCAGAAAAGATACTAATGGAGGTCTGCTACTTCAAATTTCTGGCATGTTTGGATTGATGCAGCTACATAGTTCGGTCTCTTAACTACGTTGCAACAGAGTCACACCTACGGGACAGGTAAGAATGGGGGTTCAGGGTGGGGAGTGCAGTGGGCGGGGGGGTTGGTGGATTGGTGGCCTGATGGAGAGGGGGAGAAGGGGGTGGGAAGGGGAAAGAACAGGGTTGGGTCTCCATTTGTCTTTTTGGAGCGCAGCGAGGATGCCTTGTGATTCTCAAATTTTGTGAACTTAGTCTGACTTCAAAAAAAAAAAAAAAAAAAAAAAAAAAAAAAAAAAAAAAAACGAACTCAATTATCACTTTTTTTTTACTTCTTTTTTTCCTCTTTTTTGAAGTTTTTTCTTTATAATGTAAGAGTGCACTGCAACTCTGTGCATGTGTATCATTTTTTAACCCAGCTTGAATTGTTAGTCTTTTACAAGTTTTACTTCATTAAGTTTATTTGTCATTTTCATTGGTTAATGTTCAGTTTGTTCAATTTAGCTTTGCTTAGCTCATCAGCGCGGGGAAGCACAAGGGTGGGGGGAGGGTTGAGGAGGTGGAGGAGGGGAAAGGATGGATGGACCTCTTTTTTGGAGGGGAAGGGATGGATGGATGGATGGATGGATGGATGGATTGATGGATGGACCTCTTTTTTTATATCTCCTCCTTGAACCTGGTCGCACCTTAGTATATCTCTGCTTCCACTGATTTTCCTTTCAGCCCTGCAGCGGCCTTGGGGCATACTTGAACTAAGACACGGACATGAATCCGAGGGCAATTACGTCCAGATTCACTTGAGAAAGTGCAAATGGGAGTATGTCCTGAGTTGTTGTGAAGGCAACACTGTCAAGGTGGACAGAACCCTGCGAAACAGAGGAAGCTTCGTAAACTGTACACTTCCCTTGATGCCGCTGACCACAGTTAGGCCCAGACTCAGGTGAGTWRGCATGAGCTATAACTTCGTAAACTGTACACTTCCCTTGATGCCGCTGACCACAGTTAGGCCCAGACTCAGGTGAGTTAGCGTGAGCTATAACTTCGTAAACTGTACACTTCCCTTGATGCTGCTGACCACAGTTAGGCCCAGACTCAGGTGAGTTAGCGTGAGCTAATTCGGTTCCGACTCCTGAGAGAGAGACGGGCAGCGTGGACAGAACAATGCAAAGAACAGAAAAAAAAACTTGGTAGTAGAGTGCAGACTTCGCGAGATGAATCCGACCGCAATTACGCCTGGATTCAGTATAGCATTGTGGAATGCTACAACAGTTTTCCACTCCATGGAACACATCATGTCTGAGTCGCGGGCTCTCAATTCTTAACATCGGCACACTGCTGTAGAATAATTATTAATTATCAATGATGTGAACAATCCAAGAATCGTGGCGATCAGCAGGAAACCACAGGTGTACTTCAAACGATAGAAATGCACTCTACTGTTTGCATGCAGGCCGCTCGTTACTTCTACAGTTCGGCTTGATTGAAATGCCTGCGCAGCAAGAGAAGGTAGAGAATAAGCAAGGCATCAGCACAGCACAAGAAGTACCGCAGCAAGGCTGCAAACAAGGCAGCAAGCTGCATTTGGGGCAACTTTCAGTCTATGTACAGTGGGTGAAGATGGTAGGTGGCTGAACAGTACACTGTACTACACACCTGTAGCTATGGATCAACAGACAAAGGAAAAAAAAAAAAAAAAAAAAAAAGGAAGGGAACCCTTATGTCTAGATACTGCCAGGGGCTAAGCACCTCCTCAGGGGATTCAAAGTTAATTGATTTCAAAAAAAAAAAAAAAAATTGATTCAAACTTCCACATAAAAGTGAGTTGGGTACAACTTATAAAGTAATATAAACGAAAAATTGATGAGATGTATCTAAAGTAGGACTTTTTTTAAATATCCAAATTCCAATGTATTATCCATGTGATTTACCAAAATATACTGATATTGACCGTACACTGGCGTACATTAAGACTAGATTCTTTTGAGATTCTAAATAGGATACATAATACATATTACATTTTGAAGCAGTTTTGGCCACCACTTTGTGTCCAGCAATTCAGCGGAGATGTCCGAAAACAAAAAAAGGGAGAAAAAGCTACTGCATTGGGCCTGTCTCTTATACACATCTAGATGTGTATAAGAGACAGGCATACCTAAGGGGCGGACAGATTAAAAAATACAGAGCTGCTGAAGAAAGAAATAGGAGAACAAAGAAGGCAAAATAGCTGCCAGACGGAAGGATGCGTGCGTGAGTCCCAATGATATATTAATTCTTGACTTGCCGGTGGAATAGGAACCGGACTGACGCTCCCCAGAATGGAAATGGAGCCGGGACCATAAGGCCCCGTTAAAAAAAGGGAAAAAAAAAAAAAAAGAGAAAAAAAAAAAGAAGGCAAAATAGCTCAGCTTTTGAAGTACAGCCCTAAGTCCGAATCCGGATGCAATCAGATGAATGAACAGAGAAAGAAAAGAAGAGGGTGGAAAAAAGAAGAATAACTTGGGACGCGTACACCTGTGAGACAGCGATTTCTGTCATACGTCGTTGGAAAAATAACGCACTCATAATTCTGGCGATGTAGTGTGGAGCATTGTGATCCTCTCTCTTTTGCCTGACCGATCGCCTTCAAACGAGGACTCCTTTGTGACAATATTTCGTTTTGTTTTTTTGGGGGGACTGATGTACCTGCCATGGATATGCACCTCGTCACACATTGTTGTTGTTCATTATTGATATTAACTATTATATGGGAGAAAAAGAAAAAGAAAAAGAAAAAGAAAAAGATGATGGTGGAGATGATGAGGGGGAGATGATGAGGGGGAGATGATGTAGTCAAGATGAGGGAGAGAGGTCATTGGTTTCAAGTATCAACTTTTGTTTTATCTTCTTAGTCTTCTTCTATTCTTCCTTCTTCCTCCTCCCTTCTCTTATTCTTCTTCCAGTCCCTTCACTTGAGTCGCAATTGGACGGCATTATCTTTTTACGGGTTTTGCGAATTTGCATCAGGAAGCTGACCAGGATCATAGCAAATTGTCCTTCGGGACATCCGTTAAACTTGGAACGATACAGAGAAGATTAGGATGGGCCCTGGACAAGAATGACACGCATAAATCGAGGAATGGTCCAAATTTAACAAAAAAATAATAATAATAATAAAAAAAAAAGGATCATAACTTCATAAGCTTATAGCAAATTATTAGCAATGCAATCATTTTAATGATTTTAATATCATTTTATTACTATTATTAATTTATTATTATTGTTATTAACTTTTTTTTTTTTTTTAATGCAATGATGCAATCATGATTGTGGATGGAACTCTTGGAGCATTGCACTGCTCGCTCTTTTAACTGTTCTCCTTCTTTGTGGCCTTGACTGGCTTTTTTTTTGCTTTTTTTTGTTTTTTGTTTACACTTGGCTTGCTTTCCTTCTCCTTGCCCACGCCCTTCTTTCTCTCCTTTTTTTTTTTTTTTTTTTCCCTTTGAAACGGTTTCACCTTTCTGCAGTCACAGATGCGGGCCCTAGGGTTCGATCCCCAGACCTCACTTTGCGCATGTACAGTATCGAGTCGACCCCGAGTGTTTGAACCCATGACCTGTGTTTTGGTAGGTGCTTGTCGTCTGTCGTAGGTCCGTGTAGTGGTAGGGGTTCGATCTGTAGGTCTGTCGATTAGGAGTCACAGCTTTGTAGAGGTCGTAGCTGTAGGTATTCTGAAGGGTCAAGGTCGTAGCTGTTACAGTACCCGAAAGGCCAAGTCCACAGCCTTCCGGAAGGTTCGGAAGTGGCCTTCCGAAGTGTCTCACGTTTAGTCAGAGGCAAGTGGCCAAGTGGTGAGCCAACTGCGTTCCATCGGCAGTGCGACTGCATCGAGTTGGCAGTGCAAACCCATGCAGTCAGCGGCACCGGTCCCAGTCAGTTAGGGTCCAGTCAAGCAAGTATCGTGTTGGACTGTGTGCACCAAGGGCCTGGGAAAGGGGCAGACCAACGAGTTGCAGAAGTATAAATCAAGAAGCAGCGCCCAGCCATTCATTCATTCGCTGCGTAAGCCATGCGGAAGCGCTGCTACGGCGTTTTGTGCGAAGGTGGTCTGCAGGTTGACCGAAGTTGAAGTGGGCCGAAGAGAGAGTGTAGCCATAGCCAGTAGTGCTAGTGCGGCCATAGCCACTGTAGGAGGGAGATAGAATCTGAGTGTGTGTGTGGGTGTATTCAGGGTGATCCAGAGTCGAGGAGAGTTGAGGGCGTGCGAACAGTGGTGTTGGACGAGGCGACGAGAGTTGGGATGTCCAGGCGCTGTTGCGCCATAGCCTATTGAAGTGAACTTGCATCTGAACTGTGTTCTTGTTGTCCATATCTCTGAGCTCTGAGTGGGCGCCCTGCGCTAGTGTGAATCGTCACCTGTTTGCATGTATGTGAAGTGGAAGTGAAAGCAAGTCTGATTGCACCTTTCCCCTTTCTTTTCTTTTTGGACAGCAATTACTTCTACCGGTGTTGCTTGACCGGGAGGTTTGCCCGCCATTGCTGCCCACGGTTTCTTGAGGAGCCCTGCTTCAACAAGCTCAAGGTGGAATTGGCTTCACAAGAGTGCCTTCTCATTCGCACTGGCAGTTTTGTCAGTGAGCTCAAGAAGCGCCTATATTCTAAGGTCAGTACTGCAGTAGCTGGACCTTTTTTTTTTTTTTCAAAACTGCTCCGATCTATATTCTATTCGCGGGGAGCGCCACGTGCTGGGAACCGGGTCGATCAACACTTTGCCCCCCCCCCC